CGTCAACCACCAACAGAAAGTAGCGCTCGTGACCCTGCCCACGGACGGGGGCTGGGCCCCACACGTCCATGTGAAGCGTCTGCAGAGGAGCCTCTGTCGGGGGGAACTGGGAGGAGTGAGGAGCAGCCCGGAGGCGACCCTCGACACAGGGGACACAGGAAGGTCCTGGCCCGGAGGGAAGGGGAGGGAGAGACTGGGGAAGACCAGAGACAAGGACACGGGAAGCCATGCTCCGAAGACGGGGCAAGGAGGGGTGGCCAAGACGGTGGTGCCACAGGAGAGTCTCGTGAGACAGGAGGCAACAAGAACAGGGGGCAGACTCAGGACCTGACCGGGACGCAGCAGCAAGCACCTGACCTGACGCAGCCACCTGACCAGACGCAGGGACAGGAGGAGACTCAACGGTCAGGGTGTAGAGACTCGACCCCGGCCGACGCGAGAACGTGGCCAGGTGTCGGCCTGTGCGTGCCTCCGTGCAGTGGGTCACCCGCTGACTCGCAGGAGTGAACTGGTGAACCCCCACATCCTGCAGGTCCGCGCCACTCACCAAGTTCGTAGAGAACGAGGGAAGGTACAGACCAGACAGGGTGCCCGAAGGGGCAGCCGGACACGGGAGGACAGTGGAGAAGTGAGAGAGGACAGGACCCCCAGAGGGGTCAGCCAGGGAGACGGCAACCGGCCGGCCAAGCGGCGTAAGGGTGGTGCGGTCTCGAAAGAAGGAGCGAGAAGCCCCAGAGTCAAGTGTGAAAGTAAGGGAGGACGAGGGCGACGCAGTACCTGAGAGCGCAGTCTCACCAGTACCTGAGAGCGCAGACGCACTGGCACCTAGAGCAGCAGCCTCACAAGCACCTAGCGCAGCAGGACCAATGCCCGGGTCGGGCTGGAAACACCGGTAACCCTCAGTCTCCTCACTAATAGTTACAGCATACATAGCAGCAAGGATAGCATCAAAATCAAGATCAAAGATCGCTACACCAGCCCTAAGAAGCTCATCCCAGCGAGGGATCTCACTAGCCCCGGGGAATTGCTGACGTCAAGCGTCCGTCAGGCGGCCAAAACAGCGCTGAGTGGGGTGGGCACCCCCACACTGCTCACCCGCGCCGTCGCCGGAACGAAGGACGTAGGTGCAAGGACCAGTACCCCCACCCCTCTGACGCTGAGTGTACCACTCACGAAGCTGCTGAGGCGGAGGGATGTCCCGCGAACGCTGCTGCTGCTGCTGCTGCGAGCGCTGGCCACCACCACCGCCGCTCCGCTGCTGGGTACCACCCCGACCAGCTCCACCCCCTCCACCACCACCGCCTCCTCCGCTGCCTCCTCCGCCGCCTCCACCTCCGCCGCTGCCACCACCACCACCCCTGCCACCACCACCACCGCTGCCACCACCACCACCGCTGCCACCACCACCACCGCTGCCACCACCACCGCCGCTTCCGCCGCTGCTGCCATCACCACCACCAACCCCGCCACCACTCCCGCCGCCACCCCCACTCCCTCCGCCGCCTCCGCCGCCACCGCCACCGCCCCCTCCAGCTCCACCGGCGCCCTTGCCCCCCTTGCCCTTGCCAGAGCGACGTCTCCCACTAGGGGCAGACGCCGCGCCGACCGACTCAAGACCAAGCAGGTCGGCAGCAGCAGCAGCGGCAACAGAGGGCAGCAAGGGGGAAGGAGAGCACCCCTCAAAGATGGGGGTGCGAGGGTCTCCACGAGAAGCTCCTACAGCGACTATGCTCTTCTCCGCTGCTAGGAGGGCCTTCTCGAGGACGTCGACGGTGAGGGTGGTGGGACAGACTGCGAGAAAGTGGTCCCTGACTACGCGAAGGGAGTCAGGGAGGCGTGCGACTACGTAGTAGAGAGTGATGTACATGGGGGGGGGGTTCTTAGCGCAGAAATCAGCAGGAAGGGCGGCGCGGTAGCGAGTGTCACTAGTGCGGAGGTGCGTAATGAGGTCAGCGACAGTGGGAAAGGCAGAGAGGTCAGGAAAGAGGTAGGGAAGCATGAGACGGCTCAGTGCAGCAGTGGCAGGGGAGGAGTAGCGCGCAACTACAGCGTCGTACAAGGTCTGAGCACTCTTGTACTGACTAAAGTGCGCGCGCTCAGAGGTAGGGAGGTGGCGACGCACAGCAAGACGTGCAGCAGCATCGCGGGTGGCCCACTGAGAGCGCACAGTGGGATCAGCATCAGCAGCTGGAGCAGGAGAGGCGCCAGAGGTAAGGTCAAAGAGAGAGAGGCCGTCTGCCCTATCGCACTGTAAAAACAACTGCAGGTCGTCTACCCAGACCTCAAAGTCAATGGCGCGACCCTCAGCGTCAAAAGCTAGGACACTAGGGGTAGCCATGACGACGACAGCGAAGCAGTGCAAGCAGTAGGGGAAGAGCACGCAGTGACAATGGGACTGTGCTCACCAGGCAGGGCAGGCCGGGCAACTCTGCAGAAGGGCGGCTCGGCGACTCAGCGACTCGGCTGCTGGGCGGCTCGGCTCCCGGGCGGCTCGGCGGCAGGGCGGCTCTGGTTCAGGGCGGCTCGGCTCCCGGGCGGCTCGGCGGCAGGGCGGCTCGGGTGTAGGGCGGCTCGGCTCCCGGGCGGCTCGGCGGCAGGGCGGCTCGGGTGCGGGGCGGCTCGGCTGCACTGCTGCTCGGCTGCTGCAGGTGGGCGGCTCGGGTGCTGCAGGTAGGGTGGTGGGGCCACGAGATCAGGGGCAGCGGGGCCGAAGTAGCAGGGCCGGTAGGTGCAGCGGCGGGGACGGCGGGGCCGCGGCTGGTGGAGCGGCGGAGCCGGCAGAGAGGGCGGCGGAGCCGCGGCTGAGCAGGCGGCGGGGCCGGCGGCGTAGCGGGCGGCGGGGCCGCGGCGTAGTCGGCGGCTGGGCCGCGTCGTAGTGGGCGGCGGGGCCGCGTCAGAGCAGGCGGCGGGGCCGCGTCAGAGGCGGCGGCGGGGCCACGTCAGATCAGGCGGCGGGGCCGCGTCACATCAGGCGGCGGGGCCGCGTCAGAGGCGGCGGCGGGGCCGCGTCAGATCAGGCGGCGGGGCCGCGTCAGAGGTGGCGGCGGGGCCGCGTCAGATCAGGCAGCGGGGCCGCGTCAGAGGTGGCGGCGGGGCCGCGTAAGAGGTGGCGGCGGGGCCGCGTCAGAGCAGGCGGCGGGGCGGCGTCGTAGCGGGCGGCGGGGCCGCGATCGGGCGGCGGGGCCGCGACGTGGCGGCGGGGCCGGGATCGGGTGGCGGGGCCGCGATCAGAAGGGGTGGCGGGGCCGCGTCTGAGGGACGGCGGGGCCACGAGGGAAATGGCGACTCGAGGGGTCGCTAAAAAAAAATGCGCGCCTCGGGGCGCGCTTCGGTGGGCCCTAGGCAACGTTCCCACAGGGAACTCGCTCTATACCATGTGAAATAAATGACAAGGAATGAAAAATGACTAAGTCAGAGTTGGGTACAAATACAACCCTAGAAAGCTGTACCCCATATGTGCTACCCCACTATAGCCTACAAACATGCATCAGCTATAATAATCTGACAGAGTGCGAGAGGCTAGCTTCCCAGCTTTGCGTGAGCGGTCGACAGGGTGTATGAGAACATACGCCATGGAACCCCACACGCGCAGGGGGGTGATGTCGGGCTTTTTGGATGTCCAGAGTGCAGTGGGAGTGGTGGTGGGCTGGGAGGTATGAGGGTACAAGTTAGTGAGGATGGCAGCGTGGAGGATGGCATAGCCTCAGAAAGAGGGCGGGTAGGAGGTATGGACCATGAGGCACCGAGCAGTCTTGGTGACCTCACGGACCCTACTTTCCGCCACGCCATTCTGATGAGGGGAATGAGGTAGGGTGTAGGTGTGAATAATGCCACGAGTGGTGCAGTAGGATGAGAGCATGTTAAGAAACTCACCACCACCATCAGAGTAGAAGCAGGAGACCGGACGTTTGAAATGGGTGCGTGCTTGTTCAGCCCAGGCAAAAATAGCAGCCGGGGCCTCTGTCTTCGTGCGAAGGAGGGAGACGGAGGAGTTGCGGCTGTGATCATCCACCAGGATGAGCAAGTATTTATGACCTTGCCTGGTGGGGGAAGGGTTGGGGCCCCAGACGTCCAAGTGGACGAGATCAAGAGGCTGGGGAGAAAAAGAGGGATGACTCTTGTGGGGGGCCTGTTTCAGTTTGCTTTCAACGCACACTGAGCAGGGAGGGGAGGGTGACGGGGGGAGAGGGGAGAGGGTGAGGGGGAGTCCGTCGAGGAGTTTGGTGGAGACAGTTTGACGGAGGGTGGCAAAGTTGGGATGACCCAACCGATGGTGAAGGAGAACTGCGGGGTGGGTGAGGTCACGACACTGACATGAGGGGGTGGGGGAGGGGGGGGAGTGGGGGGAGTGGGAGGAGTGGTGGGGTGGGGGGGAAGAGGGGATGGGAGGAGAGGAGGGGGGGGGGAGAGGGGAGGTGAGGGAGAGGGGAGGGGTGCCGAGAGGGTGATGAGGTGGTGGATGGAGGTGCGAGGGGTGCAGTATGTGTACATGTTAGTGTGAGGGCAGAGGGGAATGCGACAGATGAAGCGGCCAGTGGAGGTATGAAAGAGGTCGCAGTGACGTGCATAACCAGGGAAGAGGGCGGTGATACCGAACCTGGTGAGGTCACAAAGTGCTACCAGATTGTTGCGTAGGGAGGGGATATATAGACCTGTGACTATACCTGAGGAGAAGATGGGACAAGGGAGTGTGGAGGTGTGTCGACTTGTGATGGTGAAGCTGGAGTCAGCTCCATAGATAGTGGAGGGATTGGGGAGAGGTACCAGTGTGCCTGCATTCCGAAGGACAGTGTGTGTGGCTCCACTGTCAAGGATTAACTCAAGGCATGCTGAGGAGAAGGAGTAGGCGGAATACTGGAAGAGGGGCTTATTGATAGCATGGGCATACAGAGAATCAGCAGAAGCAGTGCTAACATGTCCTATGAATCCAGTAGAGGGAAATGGAGTAAAGCAAGGAGGGTTGATGGAGGAGGAGGTTTGTTCAGCAGCATTAGCAGCAGATGCCGGGGGGCCATGGCCATATCCGGGAGGTGGGTAAGGAGGGTAAGGCCAGCCAGCATAGGGTGGAGGGTAGTGAGTGGGAGGGGCTGAAGGCGGAGGTGTGGGTGGAGGAGGAGTGGGAGTGGTGGGAGTGGAGGTGGAGGGGAGAAGATGCTGAACTTGTTGAAGGATGTGAGATGGGAGATGCTGAGTGAGGACATTGTGAAGGTTGGGCAATGTCCTCACTCAGCATCTCATTCCCCTCTCCTTCCCCTCTCACTGCCCCATCCCCATCCCCATCTCCTCTTCTCCTCCCTCCCCACCTCCTTCGTCCTCCCCCCTCCACCAGACGGAGTGCCCAAGGAGGGCGTGAATCCGCAGGAGGTGCTCATCCGGCTGGCCCTACTGCACCTCATTCGCATCAAGGTGGCCGCGGCTGAGAGCACCCGGGAGAGGCTGCGGGAGAGGGTCAGGGCGAGGAGGCTGGCCAAAGGTGGGGGTGCAGAGGGAAGGGGTGTGGAAAAGAGGGGTGCAGACGCGAGTGGTGCAGAGCGTAGGGGTGCAGTGGCAGCAGCGGGAGAGGCAGCAACAAAAGATGCAGCAGTAGCAGCAGTAGCAGCAGCAGCAGCAGCAGCAGCACCTTCTGGGAAAGAAGAGGCTGTCAGGAAGGCGGGAGAGGAAGTGTGCGGAGGCGCGGTGAGAGAAGGAAAAAGGGATGGACCTTCAGAAATGGAGGGCGTGACTTTGGCTGGTGGGGAAGGGGGTGAGAAGGGAGAGAGGGGGCGTGGAGGGGTGGTGGGGGAAGGGAAGGGGGATGGACCTTCAGAAATGGGGGGCGTGGAGGGAGATGGGGAGGGGCATGAGAAGCGGGAGGAGGGAAACAGTGAGCCGGGTGCGAAGGGTGAAGGAGATACTGGAGAGGGAGAGACGGGAGAGGGAGAAGGTGGAAAGCAGGAGGGTGACAAGGAGGGTGACATGAAGGAGGGTGACAAGAAGGAGGGTGACAAGAAGGAGCGAGAAGAGGAGGTTGAAAAGAAGGAGGGTGAAAAGAAGCAGGGTGACAAGGAGGGTGAAAAGGAAGAGGGGTTGGAAGAGGAGGAGGAAGCGGTGGAGCTGGGTTGGGAGGAGTTGCTGCCGGGGCTGCCAGAGCACCTGAAGAGCCACAGCCAGCTGGCACCGCTGTTCCGCACGCGACAGTGGCGGGACGATCACGACCTGCAGCTGCTGAAAGGCATCACCAAGCGCCCTCGAGCGCCGTATCGACTTAGCGCCTTCGAGCGCCTCTCTCCTAGTGCGCCCTCGTGCGCCTCTCCTTCTCCTACTGCCCGTGCGCAGCTCGCTAGTGCCGTGCGCGGCCCTTTTTCTTTTAGTGCACGAGCCCGCTAGCAGCCCGCGCGCGGCCTTTTTTGCGCGCGCGCCGACTGTTAGCCGCCCGCGCGACTAGTGCCGCCACGAACAGCCCGCTAGCCGCCCGTCGACCAGCCCTCCTGGCCATCCAGAGCGCCGCAGCCCCGCCCGTAGGCCGCCGCGTCGCCCTCGTAAGCCGCCGCCCACGCACAGCCACGGATCGCCCGCTACAGCCGCCCACGCGCAGGCCCACCGTTGCGCCATGCCGCGTACCCTAGTCCGAGCCGCACCGCGCCGCCCTGCCCGAGCCGCGCCGCCCGAGTCGCGCCGCCCGAATCGCGCCGCCCTGACCAAGCCGCGCCGCCCCACGTGCAGCAACTACTTCTCCTGCTACTACTGCTACTCCTGTGGAGAATAGAACGAGAATGAATGCACTATGAAAGAGTTGGGTCCAAATAGCAAAACCCTAATTGGGTTGTACCCCCTATGGGACACCCCACTGTAGCCTACACAACAGCATAAGCTACATATATGTTCTGACACATCCCCATAGGCAAAGTGGGGGAGAACAAGGGGTCACAAGACCAGTCAAGCAAAGCAAAGCAAAGCTCAGGGTGGATCACAAAGTCACCACACAGTCCGAGCACAAGAACAAGGCCACAAGGCCAGTTCACATGCAGTAGTACACACATATATATATAAAGCTAGAGAAGCAAGAGCAGGTATATATATGTGACAATACAAGTAAAGTCAAGAGGAGAGCAAGTGAGGCAAGACAGGCACAAGACCCAGCTGGGTGCAGAAGCGCTGATGGTCACAAGGCGCGAGTGCCTTGGTGAACACATCAGCAGTGTTGGCCTCAGAGGCCACGTACGCAAGCCGCAACTGTCCACGCTGCTGTAGCTCACGAGCAAGGAAGTAGCGAAGAGCAATGTGCTTCGTTCTGTGCTCCAGACGCTGCTCTCGACGCAAGGCCAGCATGGCCTTGTTGTCTACGTACAGCACTGGAGGAGAACGAGGCGGCTCTCCAAGGTCAGTCAGCAGGTAGGTGAGCCAGCGAAGCTCCTGTGCAGCCATGGCCCCTGCGTAGATCTCAGCCTCACAACTCGAGCTGAGAACCGAAGACGAGCGAGTAGCCCGCCACGAGACAGAGCCGGAGCCAAGGCTGAAGGTGTAACCCTGTGACGACCGCTGCGTAGCCTGGTCGTCAGCCCAAGAAGCGTCCGCGTGACCTGTAAGTACCACTGGAATCTGCCCTCCAAGCACTGGCCCCATGCCCGACGTACTGCACAGGTAGCGCAATACCCTCTTCGCTGCAGCCATGTGCTCTGGTCGGTGTCTCCCAGGAGCAACATAGCGTGCAAGAATGCTAAGAGGGTATGCAAGGTCAGGTCGTGTGCAGGTCATCAGGTACATGAGGCAGCCAACAAGCTCTGGGTACGGGCCACTCGACTCTACGGACTCATCCGAAGGCAGACCTGAGAGCGAGTGACGAGTAGACAGAGGAGTGGCGTGAGGCGAGGAGTACGTGAAGCCGAAGCGCTGAAGGACCTGCTGCACCATGTGTGACTGAGTCAAGGTAATGGTGCGGCGTGCTCTGTCCCGAGTGATCTGCAAGCCAAGGTAGCTGCGCAGTTCACCCAGGTCTGTGCACGTGTGTCTCTTCAGCAGCTCGGACTTCACGTAGGCGAGTCCAGCAGTGTCCGCTGTGGCAAAGACCAAGTCGTCGACGTACACGAGGATGTAGAACGGCGGCAGTGAAGTGTCGGTGCGCAGAAACAGCGACGGGTCAGCAGTAGAAGGAGCAAACCCAAGGGCCGCAAGCGTAGTCCTCAGTGTGTCGTGCCACTCACGTGGTGCCTGGCGGAGACCGTAGACTGGCCATCGGAGGCTCCACTGGGTGCCAGGAGGGAAAGTCCCAGTGAAGCCAGGTGGACGGCGCAGCCAGATCTCCTCGTGCAGGCTCCCCTGCAAGAACGCAGTACTAAAGTCGAGAGAGTGAAGCTCGTAGTCGCGCTGAGCGGCTATGTGCAGCAGCACCCGAAGAGTGGTCATCTTCGGGGTGGGAGAGAAGGTCTGAAAGTAGTCAACTCCCTGCCGTTGACTGAAGCCACGAGCGACGTACCGCGCCTTGAAGACAGGTGGAGAGCCCGGCGGCCGCTTCACTCTGAAGATCCACATGCCACTGACGATGTTCGCCCCAGGAGGGGGAACCGCGTCAACGTAGGTGCCTGTGGACTTCCAGGAAGCCATCTCTGCATCCATAGCTGCCTGCCACTGAGAGGAGTAGGGACCCTCTACGGCCTCCGCGTAAGAGCGCGGAGTCGGGATGTCTAGTGCATCTGGGTCTCCCTCAGGAGCAAGCAGTACAGACGCGAGATGAGGTGAAGCAGCAGCCAGACACTGGAACTCCTCCTGCCTGTCCTCTAGGACGTCCGTGCCAAGAGCACACTCACCCCCGATGGACGGAGGTCAGACAGACGCAGACTCAGCAAGAAGACTAGCAGCGTAGTCTAGACGACAGCGAGCAGCAAAGTCGACGAGCTCAGCGACAAGAGCAGACGCAGCAGCGGACTCAAAAGAGGGGTCAGTGACGACAGTAGCAAGCAGACGCGTGACGGTAGGACTGGCAGCACGAAGGGAGTCCGGCTCTGGGTCGGTAAGCACAGGAAGGGAGGACTCAGGAGGAGAAGGCAAAAGGGCACGCAGAGGAGCAGTGGACGGACGCAGAGACATCCGGTGCGTGCCAGGGACAGGAGGAGGACGCGGACGCGAACCACGACCACTAGCGCGGGCAGCACGAACAGGCGACGCGGGACAAGACGCAGGCTCACGACGCTCAGTAAGACCTCCAGTAGGACCAGTGTAAGGAGAGGGAGCAGGCAGTGGGGAGGTAGGCTCCAACAGTGACTGCGACTGGACAGGTTGTGGACACTCTACCGGAGGAGAAAGACCAAGAACCTGCTGCAGAAGCGGAACGAAGTACGCCCGAGGCCGCGCGGCAGCTCCAGACTCAGCAGGGACAGCACCAGCACCCTCAGCGGCAGCACCAGCGCCACCAACACCTCCAGCGGCAGTACCTCCAGCAACACCAGCAGCAGAACCACCGTCAGGACAGACAGCAGCAGACTCAGCACCAACGCCCTCAGCAGCCCCAGCTCCAGTAGGACCCGCAGGCGTAGCACCTCCGGGACCGGCGGCACCAGCACCCTCGACGGTCGAAGAAGCTCTAGCTCCAGCAGTACGCCTCCAGCGGCGAGCAAACCACTCGCGCAGCTCCTGTGGAGAGAGGGGCTCCCGCCGAGACGCAGCACCAGGAGAAACCCCAGGCTCAGCGGCTCCAGACGTAGCACCCCCAGGCTCAGCAGCTCCAGACATAGCACCCCTAGGCTCAGCAGCTCCAGACTCAGCACCCCCAGGCTCAGCAGCTCCAGACTCAGCACCCCCAGGCTCAGCAGCTCCAGCTCCAGTAGGATCCGCAGGCCCAGCAGCTCCGGGACCGGCAGCACCAGCACCCTCAGCAGTCGAAGGAGCTCCCGCTCCAGCAGCACGCCTCCAGCGGCGAGCAAACCACTCGCGCAGCTCCTGTGGAGAGAGCGGCTCCCGCCGAGACGGAGCAACCGGAGAGCCCCCAGGTCCAGCAGTCGCAGGCTCCGCACCTCCAGGCTCAGCACCCCCAGGCTCAGCAGCTCCTGACGTAGCACCCCCCGGCTCAGTACCCCCAGCAGCAGCACCCCCAAGCTCAGCACCCCCCGGCCTCGCACCCCAGGCTCAGCACCCCCAGCAGCAGCACCCCCAAGCTCAGCACCCGCAGGCGTAGCACCCCCAGACTCTGCACCCGCAACAGGACCAGACTCAGCAGCAACCTCGACTGGCTCGACTGTGTCTACCTGGGACACACCTGAAGGGGCAGGAACCTGAGGGGGGAGGGGGGTCTACCGGGGGGGGAACTGGCACCAGGAAGTCCGGTGGGGGGGGAGGGAAGGAGTACGGTAGGGGAAGAGGCGGTAGAAGGGGACTGACTCGTCGAACGTGACGTCCTGGGAGGACAGAACACGACGAGAGGAGGGGTGGTAGAACTGCCACCCTGGAGCATCAGAGGGGAAGCCAAGGAAGACACAGGGAGCAGCACGGGGGGACAGCTTGTCCGCAGACAAGTCGCGGACAAACGCCCGAGATCCCCAGACACGGAACGCAGACGCATCGCCGACCTTACCCCGTCCACAGTAACACTGGGGACATCGCGGGCCGAGAGACCCTGGGGTGAAGGTTGAGCTGATGCGCCGCGTACCGAACCGCAAACGGCCACAGAAAATGGGGGGCAGCCGCATGCATCATGGACGTACGAGCGACATCCATGACCATGCCAATGCGGCGCTCAGCAATCCCATTTTTCTGTGGAGAGTCCGGAAGCGTAAAGGTCTGGCGGATCCCCTGTGCACGACAGTAGTCTCGCAGAAGGCGAGAGGAGAACTCCCCACCTCGGTCAGAGTGCAGACGCAGAACAGGAAAGTCCGAGCCGAAGCTCCTCCTGAGCTGGAGACGAGCCTCGCGAATCCAGTCGATCAGCACCTCAGTGACAGCACCCTTGCTGCGCAAGGAGAAGACTGTGGTGTAACGCGAGTAGTCGTCAACCACCAACAGGAAGTAGCGCTCGTGACCCTGCCCACGGACGGGGGCCGGGCCCCACACGTCCATGTGAAGTGTCTGCAGAGGAGCCTCTGTCGGGGGAAACTGGGAGGA